TGATTTTTTTTCTTTAATATGAATTTTGTTAAACAATTTAAGACGATGGTTTGTTAAGAGATTAATTTTTTTCTCTGGCTATAATTGTATAAAATAACATAGTTTTGTCACAGTCTATAGTAGGCACTCCTGTAGTTGCTGCAATGCGCGCATTGACTACTTTTTATTTGATTTAGTACTTATTTCAGGAAAATGGTTCAAAGTTACTAACTTCAGAATTAATTTCGTTACTTAAAATATGTGGTGATGTTAAAATTTTGTCAAATATCTTTTTAGGAATAAAATTTCTTCATTTTACTTGTGAAAATGGATATAAGAAAAAGTGGTTACATTGCGTTCAAAAAATATAGTTTCTTTACTTTAAAAAATTAATGGGTTGAAAGCTTATAAAAATGAATCTTTTTTTACAAATTTATCTTTTTTGAAAAAAATAGTAATTTTTAATCAGTGACATTAAGATATAGAAGGGGATTTAATCCCTTTGATCATTTATTTAGCTGCTTATGAATAGAAATTTTTGATCCAATTACGTCAGAAAATATTAACTTACGTCAAATTTAATTAGATTTTTTTGTAATTGATAATGAAAAATTAACTAATATAATATGTGACTTTAATTTAAAAAAAAAATTCAATCTTAGTTATTTTTCAAAATTTAGTTATAATGAAAAGAAATTTCAAAGAAAATATGCTGGTGTAAAAGAGACGTAAAATATATACAGATATAACCACTAATTTACTGATATATCACGTACTGCAAGAATAGCCGTATGTATGTCATTGGGCTGTTGAATACTGTAGTGAGGGAAAAGGTTCTCATCTTCACGGATGGGTTTTACTGATTTTGTGACGATATTATCGTTTGTCGATAATATCGTCATTTTGCGCTTATACTTTTTGATATTCATCGTGTGTTGATATTTATCAATATTTAGCTTATGTTGAGATTTTTCGTACGTACTAAATATCATTAGGATATATTTTAAATATCGTTTTCGCTATAAATTAAAATTATCGATGTTTCACGATATATTGATACACGACCTATTAGCTCCGAATTTGGCTGTAAATAATAAGTGAGTCCTAAGTTGAAAGATTTATCGTATACTGGAAAGATTAACTTCCCAGAACAAAAAACTTTTTAAGAAACTGTTTCTGTTTTCAACTGTTATCCGCTCACTGTAAGAACTTCCTGTTATTTTTGCATACATTCTCTGTATATTTGCAAAGCAGTTTTTCGCACTTTATATTTACTCTTTCTTTTTCAAATCATTTTGCGATTAAGTATAGAAAGTAGTAGAGAAGTATCGAAAAATACTTGCTCTTATTTTTCAGGAAATATTTTATGATATTAACATCGTATAAATAAAACTGATCCAATTTTATTTTATTTTTTGGCTCATTAAGTTACCATGCATTTTTATTCTGGTAGGCCTCTATAATTTAAACATTTTTACACTTATATATTTTTTCAAAAGCTTTTTTAAGACGAAAAGAGTATAAGATTTTCTTCATATTGAGATACCTTGTGCTCCGGTAGCATAGAGGACCATTTGAGATGACCCAGGTTCGAATCTCAGCGTCACGGAGAATGGTCGTACGAATGATGTTCTTGGCATGCACTGACCAGAATGCAGGAATACATTTTTCGTAGAAGTTTTTATTGAAATAACAGAATTTTCAGAAATAACAGTACTTATCTGGTGAACAAATAAGCACCCGTTTTTTTGACGGAAAAAAAAGAAACAGTATTTTTACGAGAAATAAACAGTTTCATGCTGATACTTGAGCTGACAGTTCTTTTCTGCAAATTTAAAAAAAAATTTTCAGCATTTTTTTTGATGATGTCCTTCATGTCCTTTTTTGATTATGTCCTTTCTTGATAGATAAGTTTAGTACTAACCATCCCCCTTTGTTAAAATATTGGTTTTATCTTTATTAAACATTAATAATATTGGCTAGGTATTTCGCTTGTATTTTTACTTCTTTTTCAGTACTTTTATTTTTGTTTGCGTCGATTAATTGCCTTTCCATTATTTTACCACTTTCATGGCTTTTTTTTTCGATTTTAGGCCATTAATAGCCAATTCACCATTCTTTAATAATATTTAGTATGTCACACTAAAAGTATATTGAAATTACAGGGCTATTACTAAAATGAAAAAAAAAGTTTTAAGGAGCTATTTTCCTTCATTTGAAAAATATCGTCCATTTTCAGGACGCAAGATGTTTTTAAACTACCAAGACCTATAATTATGCAACATATGATCTTAAGAAGTTACAGGGGGTGAACAGAATAATGGAAACACTTTTATACTTATAATTTTTTTTTCAAGTTCCTCAAAAAGTTATCTTATTCGTTGATACGGATAATCAAATTATCTTATCACTTTAGAAGTGTTTAGATCCTATAATTTCTCCTACATGTAAATGAAGTTCAAAGGATTGAGGGACAGACAATATATTATAAACCGAAAATAATGTTTTTAATCATTCTGTGCCAAAAAATATAGCAATAGTTTTGTAATTTGTGACAGTTATTTTGGTTTACTATAATTACCCAAAATTTCGTAAGCCTGACTCAAATATTTATGGGGATATGGTCATTTTTATTAAAAATTGCTCTATGACTTTAAAATTATTATGTAAAATTGGGGAAGACTCCTGATCATTTTGGGCTTTATTTTAAAAAGTACAAAAACTGCTTGGAACTTATAAACTTTGGAACTTAGAAAACTGCTTGGAACTTTGAATTGTGAAAAAAGAATGTAAAATTTTCCTCGCTCATGTGCAGTACAAAAAAAAACAACTTTAATTACTCATATCTTGTGCAGTTTTAAGCGAATTTTTCTCGACTTTTAAAGCAAACATTTTGTAATTAATTTTAAAGTTCTTTAAATATTTTGATTAATTTTATTGAAGTTATAGGAAAACAGCGTAAGACAAAAAAACAAGTTTTTATAATAACTATATATCTATAAATAGGATTACTACATTTTGTGCAACCATTGTATATAAGAACTAAAATATTTAAAAAGATACAAATTTATTGTTGCATTGTTTGGTATAGGGTGTTCAAACGCACTTTTTCCCGTTTGTTTTCACCACTGTCAGTCCCTCAAACCTAAAAAAAGCTTTAAAGGTTATTGATATGTATGAGAAATCACATGATTTAGACACTTCTAAAGTTATAAAATAATTCGTTAAGTATTTTCGAAGAAATTTTAAAAAAATGTTGTGGTATAAAAGTATTTCCATTATTTTGTCTACACCCTGTATTGTTACATATGTATTATAGATATTACCGATTTCATTAAATTTACTTCATGCAAAGTAATTAGTAAATGAATTAATGGATAAATTTTTTTCACCAGGACCATAATATAGAGCTGTGAAGGATGAAACCTAGAAGATAATATCTCAATTTAGTTTATGTTGGAAAAATATTTATGACTCATAGTTGAATTTTTTAAATTGTTCTTAAAAATCCGAAATTTCTCACTAATGAGTTTAAAAGTTTTATATCCATTTAAGTATGCTTATAAACAGCAAATACTCCATATTCTGTGCACTGTAAGAGAATTCATATCAAATTACGGTATAAAGTACCGCAACTCATGGTGCCGATACTTTTTACCATAAAATCCACTCTTACTGGAGCATGTTACGGAGCAAGAAATTTGATATATCGTAATTTTTGCAGTAATAATTATCGTAAAATCACTTTAATTAAATGAATATTACTGTAAGATTTTTAAGTATCTTATTTTATGGTAAATTTGGATTGCACTGCTGATGCACGCACAGACGAAGTACTTTATATCGTAATTTAATTAAAAAAATTTCACAGTGTAACAACCATTGTGTGTATTATTTCTATGAACTATTATGTGCTGACTTATTTCTGTGAATTTTTTCACTTTCATACTTGCAATATGGGCTAATAGTTTTTGGAGTCATCAGATGTCAAGTTATATCAGGTTATAAGCGAAACAAGATACCATTTAAGTTGTTTAAGCTTAAGGTTTTTGATCTAAAAGTCTAACTTTAAAATTCTCATTATTAAAGTAAAATTTTTAAGAAAAGAATGCTTAAAATTAATTTATGTCGTTAATTTTTTCGAATCATGCAGTTTTTGAACCACTCCATATATGTGATTTTTTCTCTAATGGGTTCAAGAAAAGTATCATGTAGAAGTAACTAAGCGGACACAGGAATTGTTGTGCACATCGTAAAAATTTCTGAAATAAATTATGGTAAAAATTACTGGCACCCTTAGTGCATCATCTTCAAAATCCATTTTACTATAAAATCCATTGTTACTGCAAAATTATATGTTTTTATTGTTTCTAATGCCACCAGCCAAATACCAGCAAATGTGTTATGTGAAACCAACCAAGGCGTATGGTGCGTTTTCCTGTTTTCAGTGGCGCCATCTATTTCAGAGAACACGACTTCAGCCCCACACTTCCGTCACAGCCTGTGTTAAAGGATGAACCAATTCATACATCCACAGATCGTAATTTTGACCTAAATCAGGAAGCGATTAGTTAGAGTTCAGAGCAACTGATTTGTTATGGGAATTTGGAGGACTTAGTGCCCCGGCAGTGCACCAGTCGCCATTTGCTATACACGGGAAGTCTTCGCTAGTCTGGGATAGAGCTCACTGCTTCTCGGACATGGTTCCAACGCCCTACCAAACCAACAGACTATTTCGCCTCTAATAAAATTTTATGCATTAGTTTATGGAATCACTTTAATTTAACAGAATTATTTATTTTATTACGGAGATTTAGTGATTTTACAGTAAATAATATTGCAAAATTTGCAATATATAAATATTGTCCCGAAATATTTTACTGTGAAACGCACCAGCACTCTGAGTGCCAGTACTTTTTACGGCCATTAGTTTCAGAATTTTTTGCAGCGTAATTTAATAATACCATTGTTGATACATTATTTTTTATGAAGTGTTATGATTGAATTGTTTTTTTTTTTAGAATCTCTGCACCCGTTAGACCCTTTCAACAGATAAAGAGAAAAGCGGTTGAAGATATTGCTACTAAAAACAGCAAGAGTATGAAAAGAGATCCTGAAACAGAGAAACTTCAGCAAACTCCCAGGTGCCGATTTTTTCCGAAGTGCCGCATGGGTCAAAAGTGCCACTTCCAGCATCCAACCTGCAAGTATAATGCCGCATGCAGAAATCTGAAGTGCATTTACCGACACATTGGTCCCAGAAAAATAGAGCTCTTCGAGAACAAGGAGAACGAGCAACCCAACAGTTTCCGATTGCTGCTCGAGAAATTAGAAAAACAAAAGCCTAATCCATACAAATGGGTAAAACCTAAAGATGTTGGTGCAAAAAAAGATGTACCATAGACGCAGAAAATTGGGGGGTTAAATAGGTATTTTAAAGAACGCGATTTTAATTAACAAATCAAATCCCGTATCCATCTTTGCACGCGATGAAAGGAAGAGTACTCGGTCTCTGCAATGAATGAGGGAAATGTTATTTGAGTAATGTTGTATGAATTAGATTGAAGAATATATAAAAGCAGATGTGTATAGTAAGTTAGTTTCTTTTTTAAAGATTTCAATAAATTTTTTGATTCTTATTTTTTTTTGTACTGTGGTTATTTAAAAATTTATTTTGTTTCTGATTTATTGCTTTATTTAAATTTTTTTTCCAATTGCAAGATTTGATACTGCACTATTTATTCATTTATCGAGAAAAGAGTTTATTAGCTAATCTTTCCTAGCGCGAGATTAACATTCTTGCCACATTTAAACACACAGATTATTCAGTCTAGTGAATTTTTGCTTAGGATATATTATATTTATTCAGAACTGTAATAATAATAAATTTCCCGAGCCTTACATAGAAGTTTGTTACTTATTTTAGCACTCATCAAATTAAAAAATGTCCCATAAGCAACAGTGTTATAAGTTTAAATCTGACATTTATTTAATGCTATATATTATTCCTATAAAAACATTTTATCTGATCCCGTAATTTAAGGATAGTGTTTATTTTATCTGAATTAAAGTGGAAGAATTTTTTAATGTTACATATTCATTGAGAAATCAATCAAGGAGTTGATATTATGCTTTGTTGTTATTTAACAATGAATGAAATCTCAGTTTCATAATAATCCAAATCTCTTTAAGTTACTTGTTTTAAAAGTATAAAAATTCCTTATCCAATTCACACCAAACTCTAGTGTAGGAAATTTGAGTAGTGGAAGTTGGAATTTCAATTTTTTCAAATGTTACTTCAAGGGAAAAAAAATTCCATGATTTGAGTTTTTATGTTTTTTAATTTTTTTTAAAAAAAGTATTAAAACGCAGCAATTAATATATTAATATAATATTTTTTTATAAAGAATAATGGAAGCAGATTTTGAAATATTAATATTGCTAAAAAAACTCTAACAGTTTTATAAAATTTAACACAAAACTGACTATAAATGTTTATGAAATGTGCTGTTTGTAAATTTTGAATGCTGCATTAAGCGTTCAGTACTTTTGATACATTTTGAATTTCAACAAGCATACAAACTGTAAAAAAGTTAGATGTTTCACACAGCTACGGACAGAAATCCACAGGAAATTCATGGGATAATAACTCACATAAAAATCATCAAATTAAAGAAATTCTATTCGCGATATGAAGGTTACTTTATAATGAATCGAAAACTGAATGCATTTTTTGATAAACTTTTATTTGTATGGGGCTATACAAAAAAGGAAAAGAAAAAACACATTACTGTTAAACTTGTTTACGGAAAAATTAGGCAAACACAAAGAATTTAATCAACTTTTATGATTTTATCAAGAATAAAAACTTGTGAAATTTTCAGTTATAACGAGTTTTACATGCATTTGAAAGAAGTCAATTTAAGTAAGAAAAAAATTGTACACAATCAATTGAACAATTTTGTTATTATATTGAAAACAAAAAGAAACCTTATTTCCCACCTTCTATTTTAAAGCTTATTTTCTAATTATTCATGGTATGACATTCTCCATACAAACCGGAGAGGCTTAGAGATCATCTACCCTCATTTTTAATGTTTATTCATTCATTCAAAATAAAACATAAAAAACTATATTTTTTACAACAGGGATAGAAGACTCTTTAAGAATCATGCATCAATAGGGAACAAAAGCAACTAGTGATTACTGATTATTCTGCGTATTGTCCTACCCAATTAAAATACAAGTATTTAATCTTATTTAACTTAGATCAGTAAATTGAATAATCACTTGATAATTAGTACCTTTTCTTATTCTGCCAGTTGTCTCAACTTTAACTATTAAACGATGTTTTCCTGATGTTACTTGAACAATAAGCAGGTGCAATTCGCCTTTTAGTTTGCTGTATTTGGCACATACTTTCATTCAAACACTAAATAATGCAATTATAAATTAGTACTTTTTATAGGGTAGGTCTTGGATATAGTTCAAATCAAAATAAAAATATTAAGATTAGAGATAGAAGAAATACTTATGCTCATTTTAAATTCTCATACCTTTATTCAACATATATTGGGCAAAAAATAGTGAAATATTGAAAACAAAATATCAGAAAAAAATTGTTTGAAAGCAAACAAAACAGTGGTCATTTCTTAATGTCGAGGGGAGATGGTCACCTAATACAGCAATGGGAGAAGTGAATTGAATTTTTAGAAAATAACACACTTCATACAGTTGATATGAAAAACTAAAAATAGGCTGTAACGAATGAATTTTATCTTGAAAATAAGTAAAAATAAATCTAGCCAATAAAATTTAATGAGCAGATTTAATCAATCACTTTAAAAAAAAATTACATACATGTTACACATTCCATCGAGTCATCGCTTTTTATGTTTTCTGAAGTTTCTAACGCGCTTCTTATTTTCTTAAACCAAGACTTACCCTAGTTGCCTCAGAGCAGAGTTAATAGCAAAATAGAAAATAAAAATTAGTTACGTTTATTATATGTACCTTTTAAATTTTTTTTATATAAAGGGAGACCTTCCCTTTTTTTCCTTATTTCTGTTTCTCCGAATCAAATAAAACCTCAATAAAGTTTATGGAACTATTAGTAGTTGTTCAAAATTTTTCATCGATAAAAAGTACTGTTTTGTACGTATGCATATTGGCTTGTTTGTCTCCACTAAATACGTGAATCAATATATATGATTATAAGCATTTTTCCCTCTTAATTGACAGAGATCGAAACCAAATTAGTAGTATTAATAATTTAAAAGTTTTAAGTGTTAAAATGATTTAATTTGCGAAAAGGTTTTGACTTACACCCATTTGCGATTCTACATTTCTTTCTAGGTAACTTAAAATGTATAGTACAAATACTTTTGGTAATTATATAGCAACATCAAAAGTACTTAAGTGCTTATATAGCAATGTCAAATATATAAATAGGTACAAATCAAAATTTATGCTG